TTAATGCAGCCTTTAAAACCAGGAAAAGACAACACTTGCCATATTACAACATCCAAAATCTAAGCATTATCTGGTCCCATATCACGATGTCAATGTCATATTAATATATTGCCCAGCCCTAATGCAGACTTGTGTCACCTTGTTGGTTCTGCTGGCTGACTGTGAGCAGAGCTTCATGACAGATCTCAGTGTGCTCATGGTTCCATCCTCGGTCATCTTCACTCTCACACTAGAAACAAAACCGCTGAAGTCCTGGGCCACGGCCTGGGAACAAAAACACACCAACAACCTTAACCTTCTCTGTTTTGACGTAATGTTTTAATGTTTAAGAGGCTGGGATGATTAATCACCAAGAATGATAAATCTACTGCGATGCATCTGAATGCTACCTTGGCTTTAGTGTAGAGTTGTGAGCGGCAGGCCTCCTCCTCAGTCAGAAACCCAGTGGACACGTAAGCAGCTAGAACTCCAGTCAGCAGACTGAAACAGCGCACCAGGCACTCTGGAGGCGTGGACTGAGACTGTGGTCGGGGGGGGGGGAGAGATAAATACCAGCTGTCACTGTGACGACTATACAGACACATAAACACACAAGCATCAACTCCCACTCACATCGGGAGAGTAGCAGTTGAGTAGGTTGTCAGCCACACAAAGCAGGGATTGCTCCAACTTGTTTCTGAGGAAGGGGGCGGCGGCGAATTGGCCGTCAGTTGAAACCGCTGTCGCTGTATCGCCAGTGTCTCTCCTCGGTGACGGCAGCGTGTTGAAGCTGAACTGCAGGTAAAGCCTCTCGATCTCCTCCAGGTTGTCTTTGGCGTTGGATGTTGTTTGTTCTTGAGAAAAGGCACTTTAAAAAGAACAGTAGTTGAAAAATTTATTATTTCTATTCCAAACGGCAATCGACACATGGATTGTTCAAAAAGGAGGTGTTAGGACGGAGGTTTGTCTTCATCGTTTGTCTGTGATTTTGGTACTCTGTACACTCAGCGTGTCAGACCAGGACCCTCACCTTTCTACTCCCTCAGGACCCAGCAGACGCTTCAGGCCAGCTCTCGTGTCTTTCAAGGTCAGGGAGACCAAGATGTTCGCTATTAGGTTGTAAGGAAAGTCTCTGCACACAAGACCATAATCAAGCATTAATTTAGAGACCTTTATTTTAAAATCAAAGAAAGATAGATCCATCTTAAGCTCCATCATGGAGCTTGTATTTTCTGTTTCTGTAAACGCAGCACAGTGCATCCGCGGGGGAACACCCGTCTGTAACTGGAGCTTCCCACTATTTAAACATGAACGCAGTCTCAAGATATTACGATTCATGTCCTTAAATAAGCGGGTACTGAACCAGGATAAATGTATCTACAGTCAAAGTCCCATAAACCCACAGTTAACATGGAAAAGCACCCACAGAGCCAAACCTGCAAATGATGGGGTGGGGTCTGGAGCTATCCTCCATCTCTTCGCTCTGATCGGTCATCAGCAGCCAGGCTATAAGGGTCTCCTTCAGGTTGGATGTCGCAGAACCCTCTGTGGCCCCCACATAGTCCCTCCCTGAGCTCGAGATGATACTTTTAGGGGTCGGACAGTTCAGCAGGGCCTGGGCCAGACAGAGAGCAGCACCGCTGTGGAAAGAGAGAAACAAGGGGCTACTAAATGCAAACACAAAAACCCACACATCATAACAACACTTTTTCAGTATTAACAAATGTATTGATATATGTCGAGGAATGGCGAAGACTCACTGAGATGGTTTACATGCTGATCCACAGAAGAGCTTCCAGAATTCTGTATTTCTCATATTGATGAGTCCACCGTGGAGAATAGACCTCAGCAGGTCCAGGCTGAGGGTCTCTGTCTGAGGTGAGCTGACCCCTCGCATTGCCAGGGCCCACACCCGACCCCACACCCGGGCCAGCTCCGTCCTGTGGACGCGGGCCCTTTCCGTGTAGCCTGCCTGGCACCGGGCCACCTCCCTCAGGCAACGCAGCACGTACGGCCCCCTCTCTCCTCTCCGCTGCTCTGCCAGGAGCTGGTACAACACCGACAGCAGCGGGACCAGCTCCTGGCCGGGCACCATGGACGGGTACTTAGAGGTGAGCTCTGCAGTGATCTGCAGCCTGAGAGGAGGAAAAGAGGGTTTGAATATCATCACAGGCTACTTTAAGTGTTTTTCTACCACAAAATACATTTTCTTATTTCTAGAAAGTCATTCTCAGAACTTACTTATTTACCTTTAAAACGTTCTTATTTTTATTGTAATAAGATTTTCATACCATGGTATGACATCAAAGTCATTATGCTGAGGCTGCAGATGGTCCCGGAGGACCTCCCAGCCCACTTCAATGCGCCGGCGCTTGCTGGCTGCACCATGGGTGGGACTGCCCACGTGGGTGGCTCTGACGGAGGCCTGGGTCACCTCCACGATATGGGGGTCATTGTCATCCCTGAACAGCTGCATGCAGGAAACACAAGACGAAGGAAATAGTTCTGACAACTCAGCATTTAATATTAGCTATTGTATAAACACTAAGATAAAGAAAATAGTGATTTTCTGTATGCATTCTTGAGACTTGAACTGTGTTACCTGATGACAGATGTCAGCTGTGAGCTCAGTGAGATTGTCTTTGACAGCTATGCGTCGTGTCCCAGTGACGTACTTCCCTCTGCTGCCTATATTGCTAATTTCTCTGATTAAGGCATCATACAGGTTGTACAGCAGACTCCCCCACCGGGTCCAGTCCTCAGCATGAGCACCTAAAATATGAGAGAGCAGACAGCTAGTTAATGGTTGTTAGTTCAAAGTCATACCTGTGGCTTAAGATGTTTAATTACCTTTAAAATCACATATTCACAACAATTATCCAAAGCAAACCCCTGTTCAGCCACTGGTTTTCAATCATTTGACGGTATAAACTTGTATTTTATTGTGTTTTAGTTTATGCAATTTTGAAAGATTGCTTGATATCAGTAATCCATCACCATTCATCTTTAGTCACCTTTATTTTATTTTAAATGTTTGTCACAGTTGCATTATTATCACTCAATAAAGCAGATGTTCTTTTTGAAATCTTTCCTTGATGGCACAGTTTGAACTTTAAAGATTAAGTTCGTCAAATTTCTTGGAACAATCACAATAGTGTTATCAGCCTTATATGGAACTACACACAACCCACAATAACGCCTGTCTACCGCACACTGAAAACCTACGGTGTCACGATTAATCTACCTGTGTCTTCCGTCTTGGCTCCTTTGGGGTGGTGAGCACAAATCTGTAGGTTAAAGAACTCCACGATCTCCTCTTTGAGAGCCGCACTGGGCCTCATATCCGCCCAGACATACAGTATAGAAGGCAGAAGCTCCTCTCCCAGGTGACACACCCTCATGCGACAGTCCATGGCCGCGGATCTCAAGAAGATATTGAGCGCCGAGACGAGGTGCTCCAAAACAGTCAAGTGCTTCTCCTGCCTAGCAGGATCAAAGGATTTTGAAAAGACGACAACAAGTGCTTCTATTTGTTCTAGTGGGTGTACACTATGTAGCAAAATAATACAATTTAATGTTGATTAAAAAAAGTCTTTACCTGGCATTTAGAAGTGCTTTGGAGAAGAAGCTGAACAGAGCGTCGTGGAATCCGTCGGTCTGCATGCAGCAGCCCTGCACCACCGTGTGGATCACTCTGCTCACCAAAACACGGTTGATGGACTTGGACGAAGTATTAAACAGGTCGCAGTATAAGTTGAGAAGATCTAAGATTCACAAATATAAACAAAGGCAAGTTTGTATTACAATATCAGACATCAGTAATAAAAAAGTATAATCTAAAGCAATAATTAAAGATTCGTTATAGTTCATGAAATGTTGCTAAAATTCTCGTATCATTTATATGAAATATATGTAGTTTGAATGGACGTCCCACTGACTGTGCCACTGCTGTTGAGGGATGTCACACCAGTACTTGCGGACAGAGAGGATGTCCTTTACTAAGAGGCTGCTATAATCTTGTCCATAAGCTGAACAGCTGAATGAATTCTGCAGGACATCCATCACATGTTTCAGCATCTCACCGCACTTAAGACGAGGCTCGCCTGCAGAGAGAGAGACACACTTTAACTGCAGTCCCAACAATACGTTCAACTGCTCGGAATTTATTGTGAAAAAAGTCAGTGTTTCTTACGTTTGTTTGCGTAACGAATGAAGTATTTGATCAAGCTGCACATTTCCGCCATCTTCTTCTGCCGCGTGGCCAGAGTAGTCGCAGTGATGTTGGATTTACTTGATTGCATGCTTTCTGTCTCCTTCTGGACATAACGCTGCAAAAATCTGACAAGGGGGAAAAAAAAACAGAATAGAAAGTGCTTATTCAGCAAGACCATTGCATCTGACAGATAACTGAACCTAATAAAACCCAAACTTACATGTATGTCGCACAATATGGAATGAGAAAAGATTACTGGGGAAAAAAATCAGCCATTGTAATTATACAAACATCATATTTAGTATGTTGTTAAGTGCAGTAGGTCAAATTTCCATTTGAATAATGGACACAGGAAGGTTCCCAGAAGTCAACTGGTATTCATTTGTGAGTGATGCAAAGAAACAAAAGTGAAACTAAACAGATCATAGTTAAGTAAGATGTGCAAGTGTACAATAACACATATCAGATTACCTGAAAACAGCATCCCATGTGAGTTGCTTGGAGCCTTTAGCTTTGAGTCCGGAGGTACGATCCAACTCCTGTACAACATCTGGACTTCGAATGAGTCTCCTGAAGCGTTCAGCTTCTTTCTAGAAGCAGGAAGAGAGGATACAACTGTGGAATGTGTAGGATTTATACCGCACATACTGGTTAAACTTGATTACAGTGAGGCTGACAAAAAAGCATGGGACAATATATCTGATTATAATCAGTTCACATGCAGGTGTGATTACCTTCCTCTCTGTGGCCTTGTCATTCTCCAGCCCCCTGCAGCAGACCAGGAGATCATGAAGAGCCAGACTCATGGTGCTTCACAGTGGACGAGGGCGCAGCTTTCATCAATGCAGATAAGGCTTTTCTACCTGCAAGAGCAGGATGTTGACAATAGAGAATATTGATATTTGGTACACATTATACAAAGCACTCCTGTCAAAATATTGACATTAAATGGCAGTTTAACGACCTACCACTTAACCTAAATACAAGAATTCACTTTACATTACCTTAGCTACAGTAGCAACAGCTTTAGCAACACAACATTGCCAGATTAGTTGTTGTTTTGATTCACAAACGTCCATTCAAACACAACTCAGTCCGTCCACTGACCTTTGGTGGCTGTCCTGATTTTAGAGACGGAGCTGTCACACATTTAAGTTCAGATGTTCACTACGGTGCAACGGTTGCTGGTTGAGCTCCTGATAACTTTTTACTTTTCCATCCTGACGCGCGTTAACGGACACACGCACGCACACGCAGACCACGCAGGAAAATTCCCGCCCCGGCATCAGCAGCGAAGAGGTCACGTCACCTCCTGATAGAACCGAGTGTGTGTTTCCGGTTAGTTTAGAGCCGACGGTCAAACGAACTTACTGTTTGGTCGGGTGCAATATTATTAAAGTGTTAGAAAGCATATAGAAGTCATGTCCGATATATTACACGTATAAATGTAAAGAGCAGAGTGTAGTGGAGTTTGACGTTTCGGATTGGACTACAACTACCAGCACTTCCACCGGGACGTTAATCCACAAACTTCCGGGTTACGCTTGAGTTCCCCGCCTTTTGAGTAAGCGACATCATCCCAGGACCTTCACAATAATAACCGCTGACGGTTTGTTTTAAATTCGACTCGGTATAACAGATTTTTTGAGAGATTTTTCTCAACATGTAACTTCCTCTTGACTCCTAATATCAACCAACAGGCAGCCATGTTGCTGCCGTCCGACGTCGCCCGGCTTGTTTTGGGTAAGTCTAATCAAGGTTTTAGTGTTGTCGTTCGAAGCCAAACTAGCTGTACGTTAGCCAAACATAATACTTAATTAACGTTAACTGTAAAAAGGTGGCTCAATGCGTATAGCCGTTACCAACAGTCAACGATAAACCTGCAGTGCATTTTGGGTAATTAACTATCGAAATTTCCCGTTTGAGCTTTGTTATGCTCCTCTTATGATGTTGGTAAACGTCCTTCTTCAGGGTACCTCCAAGAAGAGCGACTGTGCGCGACAACCCAAGCTTTCATCCACGAGTGCCCAAACCTGAAAGAGTACGCCGAACACTCCACAGAAGATGGGACTATTCCTGCTTGTGTTTTTGTAAGTGCGCCTTTTTGTCTCCGATAGGCCCCCTTTTCACAAACTCTTCAGTGTGTATGTCATGATGCTCGTACATTGAACTGCACATCTGTGATTTCTTGTTTGTTTCCCCCCCTCCCCCCTCACAGTCCATCTTTGGGAAAGGCCTGACAACCATCCTAAACGAGTATGTAGCTGCCAAAACAAAAGGTGAGCTTATCTGACATTGTTCCACCTAGAAACATGTAGCATTTGTTATATATTCTTAAAGTGTCGTGCTTATGTTTTGGGTCATTTTTCAATAGAGTCTTGTCATGAGGTCCCTGCAGTGATGACCTCGTTGTGGAAAAAGCTGGACTTTACACTCAACCAGATCAAGTAAGAAGCTTCAAGATTCATCTTCTAAATCACTGCAACTAAGTTTTAACTGACCACCGTCTCAAATCTCAGTGACTTCTATTCAAAGCTGACATTCAACACTGTTATTGGTCCATTATTCTTCTGTATCTTATCCTTAGGTCATTGCAGAATTCCCCGGCTATATCAGCAAATCAAAGAAGTAAGTCTGTTATTAGTTTTTCCATTTTAATATAAGATTTTAATTTGTTGTGACAAAGGGTACATTACTCCTACATTAATGTATACTGCAATGTTACCAATGTTTTTTTTAATCGACACCCACCCAAGTACGTTTGTCTCAGCTATCAAGATTTTTGTATTATGATTTCTACCCATCAAATGTATGTGTGGTATGCAGTTGAAAGTGTAATTGTCTAATGTTGAGGTGTTCTGTTGTCGATTGGTAAAGTTTTTATTTATCTTATATTTGCTGTCTGAGTTGTGTTTTGGCTCAGGGTTTGGTTTTAGGGCCTTTCATTTACTAGTCTCTGTTCATTGCAGTACGTTCACGCATCGGATTGGTCAACATGGCTAGACAACGGGTGTTGACCGTGGCTTCGGCTGCTGGTGAGGTCTGCTCATCGGTCTCTGAGACGAGCTCCATCATCAGCCCTGCAAACATCTCCCACAGCATGCTCGGCCACTCCACTCCCGTGAGCTACACTGCCCCGCACGCCCGACCAGCCACCAGCAGTGGCGCACACCAGCAGATCCATGATGGCAGCCGGTTTCTAAACACGCCCAGTCAGTACCACAAAATAGGCAGTGCTCTCTATATATTTGGGTTTTATTGACAGTGCAGTTGAGGTGACATTTTTAATACTGTAGAGGAGTTGAAACAAACATGTATTCTGATTTTCTTTGAACAAAAGTAGTCTTGTATTTTTGATGATTGCTTGAAAACGTTGATGATTTTCACAAAACAAATTTGCTTGTGTATGATGTGTGACGTAATGTGTCCACCACAGGGGATTCACCAATACAGATAATTGTTTCAGAACATCGGCTAAATCCAGGTCCAATGTCTCCTGGACGGCGGAAATGGTAAGAATGATTATTATTGTTATATTGCAGTTAACGCATTGATGCATTTCATTGACAAAGCTGCTTTCTCGATGCAGAACTACAGTACAGAAGTAGATGTAAATGCTTATTCGGGGACTTGACTAGAATGCATACCGCATTGCATTATGGGATGTTAATGCCGCCGTAGTGTCCAGTCTTTGCATACTGTAATATTAGACTGGAAATAGTATGCAACTCACAGCCTATTGGTTCCATACTAAGGTTTCGGACATATTAAAAATCTCACATTCTGTCTTAGCTACTAAATAACAGGACATTTTGGAAATCACCAAAATGTCTACCGTGAAAAGAACTACTGCAGTTTTGATATTTTAATCAATGTGTCTGTATGACCATGGCTCAAACTCTGTGTGCGAGGTACAGGGCCTCGGTTTAGACCTTATTCACAGCAGACATTTGCACAGCTGACATGTGATTGCAGGGAAAGTAAGGGTGCTGCTTATTACATTTAATGGCATGTCTGTTTCAGTCAGCTGAGCAGAATAGAAGGACTGCGGAACTGCTTCATCTAAATGGAAAGGACTCATCGTTAATGTTATTAGTTACACCTGTGTTTTTCCTGTTAACGGCTTTAATTTGGGGTGTTTCTGTATGAGATAGCGCTTCATAATATTGATATTGTGTTGTCCATGCCTTGTGCATGTTGGCAGCCACCTCCTAACCTCTTTTATTTATATATATATATATATATATATATATAATGTTTTTTTTCTTTTTCTGCTGCCTTCAGGGACAACCCCAGGAAGAGAGGTGGTGCTCAGTGTGGGTCCAGTACCCCCAGTAGAGGTGCCATGACTGTCAGTACCCCCAATGCAGAACCTCAACCTGAAGATGGTGACGGGAACTTTCCTGTAAGTAGATCTATATGTCAGGAGCTACGATGATGTTGTGCTGCAGATTAGGGCTAAATTACCTTTTTAGATTATCACCTCTTTAGGATCCCTGAAATAAATGTGTTTTCGTTTTTGTAGTATGGTGAATGACTGGATGCTCTAGACACCAGTTTGATCTGATTTTGGTTCCCTGGGACATCAACACTTTAATCTATTATTATTTATATTATTAGAGTTAAGTGAGGGGTAAAAAGAACTGTTGTTTCTCAGACCAACAGTAGGTGACCTCAGCCTTACCTCTGTTTCTGGAAGCAATTAAGTGATAGTCAAATGTCATGGAATCAGAATTTTTTAGGTTTTATGTTTCATATATTTTTTGACCTCACAACACGTGCTAATTTCCACAGCAGCTTGTGATACAAAATGCACGTGACAAGATATTGGGGGACCGATCGTTACAAGAGAAGCTTGCTGAAAACATCAACAAAATCCTCGCCAAGTAAGTTTTCAGTTGTCATTTCCTCACTGCGTTTGTATTAAGTTGTTGTGATAGCTGATTTATGACTTTGTCGATGGCAATCAAAGTTGTGACATGTCTGCAAGGATGTTATTACATGGCTGCACCAATTTCTCCTCATCAGTGAGCCAACGCCCCAAACATCTAAGGCCCATTCGAGTACAGTGGAGGCAGACCAGTCTATTGATGAAATCCTGGGATTACAGGTGCTGAAAAACTATAAATACTGATATCATATTCATATCTATCTATCTATCTATCTATCTATCTATCTATCTATCTATCTATCTATCTATCAATCAATCAGTGCTTATTTCACTGTGTGCCCTTACATTATTTCCTGACATTTGTCCTCTGAAACAGGGGGAAATCCACATGAGTGACGATGCCATTCATGACATTTTGGAGCAAACGGAGTCCGACCCAGCTTTTCACGCCCTCTTTGAGCTCTTCGACTACAGTAACCCACTTTGCTTTCATTTTGTTTGCTGTGCAGAGCACTTCTGAATCACTTCTTTTTAAATTGTGCTATAAAGCACCATAGAAAACCAAGTTTTATGATGTATATTTACAGATAAAACACGATTCCCTGATGGCGAACCGGGGGATGGAGATATTGGCAGTATTCCAGAAGAGGGCGACCCCGCTGGACCTTCATCTACAGTCGGACCCCTTCCGAGTGATGATCCAGGTATTCTTACAATGTCACCTTTTGATTATTGTCTGCCTCACATAGGCCAAGGCAAGTTCCTTGAATTCAAAGTTTGGAAGGAGAATAAGGTCTATTGAAGACCAAGCTGCATTAAATACACACATGGGGACAGACACTAATACTCAAATATTTATTTAATTTTTCAGTCACTGCACACCGAGATGCTAAGGCTTCGGATACAACGCCAATGGCCGTAAAGATGAGAGCTGGACAAGAGCATAGGACCAGGAAGTCTACTGCTCCCACCTTGTTGAAGAAAGTAGCTCTTGGCCCCAGCGGCAGAGTGTCTAGAATAGAAAACAGTTCAGCCAGGTTGTTAGTGAGTCACGGGGAGCATCGAGGTGTCTCATCCGCTGCAGTGGACTCAAACAGAAAAGAAAAGGCCTCACTCTTCAATAACTTTGTTTTTGTAACACCGATGGATATTGATGAACCGTTGAACACCCCTCCCCCTCTTTCAGACTGTATGCTCATTCAGGAGCCTGCCACGAAGGACGGCCCGTGCATCATAACTTCCCCCAGTGAATCAACCGTTCTTCCCTCCGCTGTGTTTAATGTGCCGGAAGTGACATCGTATGTCGTTCAAGGACCGGAGCATAAACAAGCGCCAGGATCTAAAGCGCAACTTGCTCCAGCCCCCTCTGCTTTTTTGTTTCCTTTGCAAGTGGAACTAAACAACACTCCGATGCTGACGGCCGACCTACCTCATATGTCTCTTTCAGGCAGTGGGATAGACACTCAACCCGGGGCTTCTCTCTCAGTAACACCTGAATCTGCCTCTTGCACATCTCCTCCTAGCAGTGCCGCGGTCACAACTGTGCCTGCCTCGCCCTCATCGGCACCCACATCTGCTTCTACTTCTGCAACGCTAACGGCTACGCCCGCCTCATCCTTACCCGTCTCACCCGCATCATCCTCCTCCTCTTGTGCCCCAGTTGGTGCAGCACTCGATCCTCCATCTGCCAACCACACCACTCCAAGCAAGGCTGCAGCGGATTCCAGTAATATCGTTTCTTTGGAGATCATTATTAGTGACAACCAGGAGGAGGATTTTTCCAGCAACGCGGCCTTGAATCAGGCAATGTCTAGCATTTCTGGAGACAAGATACCCACCATCTACCTTTCCTCTCCAGCTAAGTCCTCCGTAAGCCCCGGCACACCAAAGGCCACCTTGGATGAGGCGGCACAGGCAGTTAGTGGCTTACAAACCTCTGAGGCGCACGCCAGTCCTCTCAGCTGTAAGACTGGAGCTGTAGTCGCATCCCCGTTGACGGGGACGTTGCAGGCCCAGCAAAACTTCATAATTCAGCTACCCCTGAACACGGCTAATCCTGCCCTCCAAGGAGCCACTGCCAGCTATTTCCTTGTGACTGAGCCCCCTACTGCAGATGCTCAAACCAGACACGTGTTACTGTCTGCTGGAGTCTCAACGGTGCAGCCTTTGCCCACCAACCAGTACGGGGTGACCGCACCATCTCGCTCTCGAGGCTCTTCCACCGGTAAGAGACAACAGACTACAGTAGTGGGTCATCTCGATAGACAGAAAGTATTCTCTAGTAAGTATCACTAGCTGGCTTTGGTTTTTGTAGTTTTTTTATATTTAGTTTGTAATTGTCTTAACTTACTGTGAAAGGGACACTCTTCCCCTTAAGGTACTTTGGGCATGGCAAACATTAGACAATATCTCTTTGGCCCCATTTTTATAGAATGTGATCATGTGTATTGATAATGAGTTATGTTCCTATGAAGCAATACATAATGCACAATTTGGTATGCTCGTCCACATTGACACACAGGCTGCAGTGCAAAAGACCTGAAAATATAAAACATGTTGAGTACCTTGACAGAAAATTCAGGAAACTCTAAAGAGCAAAGTTCATTGAGATTAGTTTTTTTGCCATAATTCATTTTTTATTTTATTTTATTTTCTTTTGTGCAGGGCCAACACTCATCTTACCATCACCTGTTAAGCCCATGTTGCTTCCTGTTTCTGTTGTGGGGCCAAATACTCTGGGGAAGGTCCAGATGCTGTCCAATCAGGTAACAGAACTTTATCTGCACTTCTTCAGTTGGTAGTCAAAAAGTATTTCCTTTCTTAACATGTTTACCTAAATAATATGATTCCTGATCATTCAGATGGTCATCTACCATTCTGCTGCAATTGTATTGTGTATGGTAAAATGAACATTAATGCATCACTTTTAGGAATAAGAAAACTTATCAACATTGTTGTATTTACAGCTTGTTGCCATACCAAACCCAGCACCGGTACAGCAGCCAGAAACTGTCACGCCAAAGTCTCCCACAATCAAACGGTCTACACCTGCTGGTGAGTTGCAAGTTGAATTGGAGCGGTGCCAGCTCACGCTATAAAATGTTTTGCTTCATGTTACCAAAGGATGTCCTCTGTGTTTCTCAGCTTAATGTTTTAATGTCACTACCTTCTTTCTCTGAATTCCAGGCCCTGAGCAACACCTGGTCGGTAACTTGGTTCAACCTGTGTTTGCTGAAAACACGGGCCAGCAGGAGACAGCAACGGGTCCTCGTCATAGGAGAATTCTATGTTTTGACTCTTCTGCAGAAGTTCAAGCACAAACTGCTAAAACAAGAAGAAGCACCAAAACTACATCGACACCACGATCTGCCCAGCAGACTGACAAAGATGATAAACAGTCGGGGACTCGAACTAAACCTTCTATCTTGAGTGGCAACAAGCCCCGGAGGAGAATAGAGACCGTCAGATGCTCAACAGATACCCAGACCGGAGGAAGCTTCATGAAGGAGGCCGAGAAGGCCACTCCTCCACAACAGCACAAGAAACATCCTCTTAAAAAGAACTATCGCAAACAAGATCATGGCACCCATAACGAAGAGTCTCAAAGGGCAAGTACCAGCAGGGTTGATGCCCCTCAGCCCGAGACTTTGAAAAAGTCAGAATCGGGAAGGAGATCAAAATCTATAGACGGTATACACAATCATGATAAGGATGGTGATGCAGCACAAGCGAAGGATTCTCATACTTCTAAGTCCTTGTCCTCTGATTCTGCTCTGAAATCAGGAACTGTAAAGGAGAAAGAGGAGAGCAGCAGGAAAGAACCTGCAGAAAAGGCTGCTGGCAAATCACGAGAGGGGCGCACAGAAAAGAGGACGCCTACTCAGGAGATGCCAAATGTGACGGCTAACAAGGAAAATGAGATGAAAGGCAGCTTGCAAGAGCAGCAGCAGTCAACGCCTTCATCCTCAGCATTAAGAGACTTCAGCCCTCCGGTTGTCACCCAGCCTGCATCGAATCCTCAGTCCAAGGCTACAAAAGCCCCCTCAAAGACCAGCTCTCTGGCCAAACAGGCAGCTGAGATGCTGCAGGACATCCAGGGGCTCAACTCTCCTTCCTCCCCAGTCAAGAGGCCCGGAGCAGGCGGCTCAGACCACAGTCTTCCCTGTACCCCGGGGACTGGTCGCAGCCAGGAGGAGTCTGCTGACCGCGCCCGGACTCCTTCCCGACAGAGGAAAGGTAAAGACGGAGAGGGGACTCCCAAGCACCTGATTCCTCCCAACACCCCGGACATCCCCACCTGCAGCCCAGCCAGCGAGGCCGGCAGTGAAAACAGCATCAACATGGCCGCCCACACGCTCATGATTCTCTCGCGTGCCGCCATCGCCAGGACGGGCACTCCACTGAAGGACAGCTTGCGTCAGGAGGAAGTGGGAGAGAAATCGCCCACGAGCTCAAAGAACTCTAAGAAACGCAAACAGCGTTCTCCCACGGCCAGCCCACGTGCAAAGAAGGAGTCAAAACAATCTCCCAGCCAAAAGACAGACCGGGTGAGGACCATACAAGGATTTGTCATGTTTAGAATGTGTTTGGGTGTTAAAACTACTTTATGTTATAGACAAGTTCTGCTTCAACAGTGGTCTGTTTTTAGATGTAGGGCTGCAGACAACGACTTTTTTCACAGTGTATTATTTTTCCGTTTTAATCGTTTGGTCCATAAATTGTCAAGAAAAAGAAAAAAATGTTACAATTTAGAAAAGCCCAAGGTGATGTCTTCAAATCGCCTATTTAATCAAAACTCTAAAGGTTTTCTATCAAATATGGAAAGCTGCAAGTTCTCACATTTGAAAAAAGCTTCAATAAGGGAATCTTTGATATTTTGGATTTAAAAATGACATTAAATCATTGAAACAATGTATCAATTATCAATATAGTTGCAGATACATTTTCTGTCGATTAATTGACACATTGTTTCAGCTCTACTTGAAAGCCTTGCTGTTGTAGCTATAATTTTTAACATACTGTACTCACCCCTCCCACAACCCTGAGAGACAACCAATACACTCTGGTTTGCTCTCTTAAGCAATTCTAATGATTATATGTTAAAACGGTATACTGATGAAAGTTAAGTTTAGTCTTTAACTTAGGACTGAGCCTGACAAGCTGAGAATGAGAGATGTCCTAAAATGACGTGCCGGTTTGGTGCATTGGACTCTCTTTGCCTGTAGGTGTGAATGTGTCGCCATGTGTTCGTCCTCTAATAGACTGGCAGTCTGCACACGGTGCCCTCTGTGGCCCTGAACAAGATAAGCAGTTTACAGAGTGGATGGATGGATCCACTCCATGTGGATCCATTCCACTGTCTCACACTCCACTGTCATCCATGGATGGATGACAGTGCGGCCTTTACTCTAGTGCCACCATCAGGCTAATCTTTACTATTATTTATTGTTTGCCCCGTTCATTAAGAACTAAGAGGATCCGAGCTGTCTCTGTTCTGCATCCATGCAACACTGTGTGTGTAATGAGCCACAAGATGTTCTCTTGCTGAAGAACTGCCTTTTGCTGTCTGTACTTTCCTTTTATATTGTAATGAAGTGTTTATGCATAACCCCATCAATACCATTAAAAGAGGGGATGTTGATGCACATCACTGTTGTATAATTCTGACTTTTTGTTTCAATCTGCAGGAAAGGAAGAAACTTGTAGACTTATTCCCCCATGACCTGGATGTGGATAAGTTCCTGTCCTCACTACACTATGATGAGTGAAACCGGACCCTCCAACAGGAAAGGACCTCCGTATCGCTACCTGCTTAAGTTACTATCCAGGAATAGAACAAGCCATCTGCTAAATCAGTGCCTATGGTTCCTATTAGGGACCTTGCCTGAGACCGTATAAGCTGCAATGTCTCCTTCAGCCAATGACGGGCTTTGATTTGGTTGATCAGCTTCCATTTTGGATGATCTGCATAATGCCTAGTTTCATGCAGCCGTGGAACTTTGTTGTATTTCTCCCCCCCCCCCCCATGCTCACTTCTGTTTAATTTTTCATTGTTGTGTACAAACATCAGTTGTTTTGGGGCCCTTTGACATATTGGGTGCATGTTGATAAAATGATGACTCAAAGCATTTTCTTGGTCAATATTTGACCCTAGTTTGATAAATCCAGCTTCCACTGGCTGATAATCTTGTGTACCAATGTGTTTTGATAATTGGGATACTGAAGACTCTCATTGGTTTTAGTTTGTCATGTTCAGTGAAGTCTGGTTAATTGAAAAATACAAAAATGTGAAATTATATTTTGTCTCACACACGTATACATACATGGAATAATGACACACAAAAGTGCTGCAATTGTTCAAAATTGCGTACTCTGCTTCATTCAATGTAATAAAACAAACTCTTTGTGTATTTTTCCTCAGTGTACACAGAGATGTGTTTGGCTTGAATGTCATGTCATGAAGCTCAATAAATTAAGTTTTGCTCTCTCTGAGTAAAATAATGATATATGTTCAGTCTGCATCATTGCAGTGAGGTAAAGGGTCCTTTAAGGGCCCAAAAGGAGATCCATCAAGTATACAATGCAGACCTGTTTTACAGTTGGACACTCCTGATGGACAGACGGACACTGAGACTGATCAACGATGTTCAGACTTGATTTAGGATTAATGCCATCTTCATCTGGTTCTAGACTAATATTGTTCCATGGCTCAAGGTTAAAACTAACCCACTGCGAGTGTTGCAATAGTCTCACTTTGTTGGCAAATTTGGCATCCTCTGATTGGACCATGACACACACTTTACGGAAATACGTCTCCAATCCAATTTCACAATAAAAGCATCACCTTTGAGTTAAATCTTATTAAATTAGAAGGCAAGACTGTGCTTTATATATACTACGCATTGTTTCCACGTTTATACAACGGATTATTTCACCACACCAGGATAACAAAATTTGCCTGAAGAAAAATATGTCACGGCTGAACGGGTTTTACTTTAACACGTCCGAGGTTTGTTTCCGGGGCTAGAGGACAGGAAAGAGGTACGACTGTCATATGATTTTAACAAACATCGCGCTAGATCCCCTCAGTTTGGAGTAAATGTTGTCATTACTATAGCAGCAGAACGAGAAGGAACGTTTTTTTTTTTTTTTTTTTACATATCTCCTCACAAGTAAGGCGGCTCCTTATTAATATTAAAACCCTTTGATGTAGAAACTGCCTCCGTCCCTAGCTTAGCCGTTAGCATGGTGGCTAACCGGTTAGCATGTGGAGGATTGTGATGTGCACGCATTCGGCATCATATCTTGTGACAGATTAAACCACAAAGCGACGATTATCAAGTAAACCACACGTTGTTGTCACGAGGCAGTTGGTAACATGTTCGTCATATATCTTGAATGATATTTAATCTTTTTGTAGTCTCATTTAAATGTCTGTCGGCGTGTTGACGAGATTTTTTTATTTTTTTTTAAAGCTGATAAGGTTTTCCAGACAGGCATGTGCTCTTTGGTCAATAGGAACCGAAAGAACAGTGAGGGAGCGACTGTTATTCTCTTGTTCTCTTGTCTCCTAGCCTGACCTGCTGAGACCTTGATAGACATGATGGCAGCCAATGGAGCGAGCTGTGCACGGCAACAGAAACGTGCAGCCAGAGACAAACACAACGGCAAGTCGACAGGTCGGTAAACGTCAAACTTTTTAAATGTGTAGCAGGCGTTATCTCTGATGCCACAGTACGATAACCACCATATAGTTTGAACAAGTCATAAACACCCCGATTCATTCAAACTATTGGCTTATAATAGAGCTGGTTGGTGTCACGTGGTATCATGTATTTACCATTAACAGCTCAACAGAATACAATAGTTGAAGTAGAGGCAAGTATGACAGTATTGGAGGTTGATTGCAATTCTGTCTGCGCTCCAGACTCTTCAGTGAGAGAGAGGCGACAGAAGGATAAGGAGGACCGCCTGTCTCTGGTGGTGTGGAGGAGGCCCGTCACCACACTACACTATTTCCTCCTGGAGACTCTTATCAAGCTAAAGGAGTGGACCTTGAAGTAAGACGTTGAACAGGTTTTTCTAGTGTTTTTGTCAGGATGTTTGCGTCATATCTGTTTTTCTTGTTAATCTAGTCTGTATTGCTCACCAACATACCCGCTGACTTAAATAATAATTAGTTATTTGATCTTGTTTCCTTATTGACATTTTGTTTCCTTTCTTTCCTGTTCAGGCTTTGGCAGCGACGAGGCGCAGTGTTCTTAGTTTTGTTGTTATGTTCTCTGTTCTCCTTCGCCTACTCTACGGAGGGAGCACACCAACAAGTAAGGCTTGACGTTAATAATCAACACCACTGCTCTGTCACCAGCCTGTTTAAAGGTCAATGATAAGTCACTCTTTAGCCACCTAAAAACATTCTTGTAAGGCTGTTGGGAAATAATGAGGTCAAGTAACCTGTTATCATACAGTCAGTTGGCTGAAAGTTGTGTTTACTAATTCCTCTGTGCAGCGGCCTGTTACTGTTCGGTTAAAGCATCACCAAGCTTCAACATAAAATTAATCTCCTTATATTCCTCACATTTACAATGATGAACGAATATGTAACTCACGACAGCTCTTAAGTAAATCATTAAATATCAGTACGAAAGACTCAAACTGTTGTTTAAAGTAATTAAGAATTGCCTTTTTAAAAACAGACATAATTCAAACAGCATTTGCCTTCTAATCAGTTTTATTTTCCTCGCTGAAGTATGTCGAGTACCTGGAGAAGAGGTTCCTGTGGTGTGCCTACTGGGTAGGCCTTGGGATCCTGTCCTCGGTTGGCCTTGGGACCGGCCTGCACACCTTTCTCCTCTATCTGGTAAGATAACACTTTATGGTTTGGCAGAAGTGTACCAAGAAAAGATATGAAACAAAAAGTATCAGGCTGCACTGAATTATGAAAGTGCTGCAATCCCAGCAGCCACCTCACTGCGAGGACAGCTGTGGCTGTGAAGAAATCTTCCGTCTTAAGATGAGCAACATGACAAAAGTGAGGAAAAATATAAACTAACACATCTTTATGAATGTGAAGCCGCCTACTGTTCTGGCTCTATATAAAGTTCAAACCAACTGGAGCAAATGTTGATGTAATGCCATTTAAATAAGCAGCATGAAATTGTAGTAACTGGGGAAAAAATGGCGAGAAATGCCGGTCAGTGATAAAGTAATTTGCCCACCTGTACACACTGTAAGTGCAAACAAAAACAGACACAATAAATAGATGTAACGTTCCACTTAAACCACATTAATATCTAATCATCCACATGTTTTTGTCACGATTGTACCCATTACTACATTTACATATTTCTGGGAAAACTGACTGGCCAACATGCGACCCATTTCTCAACAGTCCAAAGGCTGCAAAATGAAAATGTCTCGAAGGACACAGTGTTATTATCTGGTCGGATGTACTCGGCATGAGTCAGGATGTCCTGTGTGTATCTACAGTATGCAGGCTGACATCTCATTCACCACACACTTCCCTTCTAGACATACCTGCCTAATGGACATAAAAGCTCCATGTGTGTCTATTCCTGCAGTTGCCAGAGGATGGCGTCACACTCCACAGTCATTGTCTTCCACTCATTCCATTTTGTCACCCTTCAGATCCAGAGCGAACCAAAAGTTCAGTGTAATTTTTCCCCTGACATGCAGTCACAGAATGACCGTATGACTGAGTCACCAAAATGTGTCATTTGTCTTGTGGTTAAAAAAAAAAAAAAAAAGGAGAACGTAGCAACATGAAACCAGAGTGCGACATAGTCCTCTTTAGACCGATGATGTGGCTTCTGTTCTGTGGAGTTTGTGCAGATGTGGGCCTGCTGAGTCAGATGTTTCCGTGATAATGAAATCATGGGAACGGATATTACTGGGCCCTCCATGTGTCGGAGATGCTGTGCACTCCTTCTGTTAATGCTTCACATTGTTTGTTTGATTGAGTTCACTGTCCTCTGTTGTCTATAGTTACTTTAAAAACTCAGTCCAACAATAACGCAGCGGTGGCTCATGTTCTCTTTAACACTTTAGAAGGTGTGACCTCATCCTGTCTCCCTCCTCTGTGTGAGGGAGGTTTTCTCTCCGAGTAGGCACCGTCATCTCCCCCCGGATGGAACAACCGAGCATCTGTTAAACCAGTTTCTCCTCATTTCTTTTTTTTTTTTTTTTTTTTTTTTAAATGACCAGCTTTTACTTTTGCAATGGATACTATCTGTTTTTGACAACGACTTTCCTTTGAATTACAATTAACTTTACATTATGAGCTGAGCAAAGATACTATTAGTTTCAAGGGGTTGTAGTCGTGGAGTGCTTTTGAAGAGGTTTAGAAAAAACAGTTCCAGCTCATCGGTCCTTTCCCAGCTCCTCTCTGTTGGACCTCCTGCCATCTCCTCACACCAACCCAGGCCTCCTTTATCATAGCCCCCTCCAGACTGTATAGCCTTTTCTTCAGCTTTTCACACATGTTGACCATAAGCCCTCTGCTCATAAGGAGACTATTTCCTGCGTCTCTATTCACTAGAACTTAGCTCGTGTTCAGTGTCACAGCTCCTATCACTGATGACTACTTACAGGAAAAACATCTCCCACCTGCACACGTTGCACTGTGAGTTCACATCAAGCCTGAAGCATGAATAGATAGCCCCATAGAGAGGAGGGAATCATCACGCTCATGGGAGAGGGGATTCACTCACCAGCATGATCTTATGATTCATCATGATGTGTTGCAGCTCAGTGCTGGATTCTAGTTGTACTAATGTGGATGAAATAAGAGAAAAGGCACGTTCATACATTGCTTTTACTTGGAGATGTATCTATTTGATCATGGTTTGATTAAAGCTTATTTTCCTTCTGTCATGATGGCAGCTAAATATGGCGATCCAACCCTGTCTCCGTTCATCTCTTTGGTTTAGAACACCTGATTAAAGTTGTGTATGATGTTCAGAGAATGATTCCTAATGTTGCTAACGTACACTTATCAGGTCCAAATTAAAGTCAACCAGCACAGGGTGTTTTTCGCTAATTATTTGTTGGATTTCATGAAATGTGCTGTGGCTGTTCATGACCCCGAGATGATTAGATCGTAACATTTTTGGAGACACGGAGAGCTACGCCCGAGAACTTCCCTCTTACTCGATCCAGAGGTCAGAATGTCAAAGCAGATTGCCGTGAAATTTTCCTGAACTCGTTTTAACATTTGAACCACTCCGTGGCCCTTCCTGTTGAGTCACCTTCCCAATAACTTTGACATATTTAGACCCATTACTGGTGAGAAACGGAACAATTGGTAGTATGTTGTCTGTCCCATCTCTGCTGCTTTACGGGTCCACTAGCGGTGCTTTTGCGAGGTTGTCTCATTCCTAAACATGATTTGTAATCTTTTTTTTTTTTTTATTTATTTATTTATTTTTTTTCATTTAATGGAAATCCACTTAGGATACTGGGCAAAGAAGT